TTTATAGTTAACAAGGCGGTCAATAGAGTAGTCAATGTATACTGCAACACTTGAACTTGCAGTTGCGGTATATCACACAATCCTTGGCGCGTTCTTCGCGATCCTTGATCCGCTCCAACTTCCTCTCCTTCATGTCCTCCTCAAGTACAAGTTTGCGAAGCTCCAATTCACCCTTGCTGCTTTTGTTTATAAACGAAAGAACCTTCAACATTTTGCCGCCATCGCCCCCGCCGGAGTCGTAGTCACCCTTCATCTTTAGCTTTCCTTGCGGCTTCATCACTTCTTCGGGCACGAAGGCCCCATTCTTCGACTTATGAGTTGAAGAATGATTGCGTCCGACGGTTGCTTTCTTCTCGTTGTCTTCGTCGACTTGGTTGTAAAGATCAACAAATAAGAAAGTCCTTTCTGTGACATTCTCGGCAGCACCCGAGGCTCGTGGCAAAGTGTTGTTGCTCTCCCGATGATCCCGTAAGAGGATAAGAAATATGGGTTGCGCCTTCTCTCCGTCGAATTGCGGGCGGTCAAACACGCTTATGGTGGCCAAGTTGCGTGCGACGGTGTCCCAAACGTCCATGATCTTGCCCCTACGGGCCAAGAATGGCATTTCTGTACTTATTTATGATCTTGCCCCTACGGGCCAAGAATGGCATTTCTGTACTTATTTGGGTCAGTAGCAGGACGTCTTCGCGCTCGGTGAAGACGCGGCGCTTCACTGGTGTTGTCATCACTTGCTGAATGGGAAAAGAATGAATCCCTCTCCGAGGGCCATGGGAATAGAATGAAAATCAGGTTTCTTGAATTTCCTTAACGGTTTTTTAGGGGTTTCTTGAAACATGCGGTGGGAAGCGAAACAGGAAACGAATGGACTGTTTTAAAACCATTCTATTGCCTCGTTCAAATGGCTTGTGATGCGATCCCACAATGGACTTGCCCTGTCGTTGCTGATGTCTAGATCTTTTGGACTGCCATGTCCAGCGTGCTCAGTTGCTCGAATTCCTGCGGCTTCTGCTTCTTGCCGTTGTTGTCATCATGCTGGGTCTCGTCAAGATGATAAGTAGCTATTGACTCTAAAAGCCAATAAAACCCACTGAAAGCTGTGTGTTTTAACCAATCAGGTTGTCAATTTTCATGCCCCCAATAGGATGGCCGAGCACACCTGCGATAACGATGCTGTACAGGAAATCAACAGAGCAGTCGCCACATAACTGCGCCGCTTATCGCCAAGCGAATTCTCAATGAAATGGGCTGGTAATTCATAGCCTCACGTTATTGCGCACGACGTGTAAATACGGATACCGTATGGGAATTCTGCTAGATTCAAGTGGGCTGCCGGCAGGACGACCTCGGCGTCCGGAAAAATAACTCGTAATTGAGCCTCGTGGATCGCATCACGCAGGACTGCCCACTTCCATACCGCGGGGCAAAAACCAACCTGATGAAGTCGTCGGAAGTACAGCGGTCCCAGGTCGCATCAGATTCCAGCGGTATCCCTGCTCTGATAATGACGTTCAAACTATTTAACGTGGAGTTCGCATGGACGTCGAATGCACTGGATTGGCGCGTTAAATATCCTCCATATCCGGATACGATTGAAATCGCGCACACGCGAATTTTTTTCACGACTGTGATGGGCAACGAAAGCGCCAAGCATCTTGGGATATGCGCCACCGCCTCGTCCAGCCATGCCAGGACGAAGATAACTTAATGCCCCTCACTGCCTCTGTGGATCAAGCGCCATTGGAACCCATGCCCGTCGAATTCTGGCAAGAAGTGCACGATACCATGCACGTGAACCCCACGACCTCTCGTCCTCGAGCGCGACCACTTCGGCCGTGTCTTCCACCAGCACCCGCCCCACTGTTGCTTCCATCCGATCTCCTAGCTATGCACGATGGACCGCTTCGCATCAAATTATCGCGATGTCGGCCATTTATGCAAACGTCTTTCCACCTCATTCCGTCGTCGCGTCCTCCGGCATCCACGCAATCCAATGTATTCCTGTCGTGCTATTCTTCTACATGTGTCCTGCAAAGTTGGCGCGGTCCACTACCGTCGACGTTGGGGCAGCTCTCGTGCTTCCTTCGCTTGGGCTCCACTTGGACGTGATCTTGCGTCGGTGCGTGCAAAACTCGACGCATCCGTCGCCCGTGATGTCCATGTCTCCATATTTGCTTTGCGTGCCATACATGCCGCCAAACGAAAACGGCTCCCTACTCACGGTTCCATCGTGAACGATGCTCGACGACGAGATGCGCATACCGCGGGACAGGGACGCCCACGTTGACTCCAATCATGCCGGCGCGGAACCGCGATTGAAAATACTCGGCGTTCCCACCATGGCTCGTATAAATGCACGCGGCGTTGCCAAACGGGCTAGCATTTTCGATCGCAAGCGCTTCTTCAAACGAGTCGACCTAGCCCAGCATGTGACAACTATCGCAGCAGCAGAGTTGACGTACTTGATAAACAGAAATGACGGGCCCAAAAATCTCGTCGTGCAGCGCGGCGTCGCTCGGGTTTGTATGCAGCAACACGGTTGGCCCGACCCAGTACCCTAGACATGATGTTTCATAACAAACCGAAAGACAATGACGTGGCGCGCTGACAAGTCCCCACGTACCTTTCGATTCCTTGGCCCATGGACGGCCATCCACCAAGACACTGGCACCCCCCGCTTCAGCTTCGTCAATATACTTCAGGATTCTATGCCAACAGTGCAGGCATATCAAATTGCAATGGAATCACGACGAGTTCGAAGCGTACCGACGCTGGGAGGCCGCGTCGATGATGGCGCCAACTTGACCAGCGGCCGTTCCTCGCGTCAACGCCTTGGCCTTGGTCACCACTGCATCGACCAGCGCCGAACAGTCGCCCACAAGAAGCAGCACCGACGCCGCCATGCAACTAATCAAGGGTTGCAGTCACGCCAGCGCTAACGTAATGGAGAACGCAAAGGCGCGTCATGTACCGCTGCCCAGCGCATCCTGCAAACGAAGCGACGACGTCACGTGCAGTGGCATCCACAGGTGCATCGGGCAACGCAACCAAGTGATTCTTTGCCCCACCCAAAGCTAAGACGCGCTTGTCGATGGCGCGGCAACGACGTGAAATGAGTTGAGCAATCGGCGACGATCCGACAAACGTCACCTGAATAACGCAAGTGATGCGTGACAAATCCAGACAGCTTCCCATGTCATGTCAAACAATTCCATGAAACGCAAGATGCGTCCGAGAAAGGGAGCATGGCACACGACAAGCCGAATGTCAAACATGGCATTTCTTACCGCTTTGACGTCGGGGTGATCGACTAATGCAGTCACGGGGGGAGCTTGTCCGTGGACGATCTGAAAAAAAACTCGTCATCGCACGTTTTGTCCGAGAGATGCTTACCTGAAATACACCAGGTGGCACCCCCGCCTGTGCGAGAAGCTGGGCCACACGGGTCATGGTGGCGGGGACCTACGCATGAAGGTGAACACGAGAAGCAACGTGCGAAGGGGACCTTCTCGGACGGCTTGAGGATGACACAGTTGCCAGTGGTGAGCGCAATCGGGACAGTCCACAGCGGCACCATGACAGGAAAGTTGAACGGCACGATGGACACAATGATCCCCAATGGATCGCGGGTTTCGTGGCACGTGATTCCACGACTGACTTCCAACACACGTCCTTGGAGAAGTTGAGGCAAGCTGCATGCGTACTCCACCGTTTCATTCCCCTGCAAGGAGAAACTTAGTCTTCCTCTTCTACCGAGTGAAGACAGGACGAAGTACCTTGAGCACACTCGCAATGGCTTCGCTCTTGTTCTTGCCATTTTCCAGTACCACAAGGTCGGCCAGTTCGTCGACATGATGGCGAATCAGTTCGTGAAACTTAAGCATGATTGCCGCTCGTGCTTTCACCGTCATTGCGCTCCAGGTCCCAAACGCTTGTTTTGCGAACGCGACGGCAACATCGACGTCGGTCTTGTCCGAGAGCGTGACTTTTCCAATTACATTTCCCGTGGACGGCGACTCGATGTTCAAGTACCCCCCCGCTTTTGCGGGTGTAAAGACGCCATTGATGAAGTTGTCGCAGACAAGGGCTGCCGGCGCCGCGTCGGCCTTGCAACGCTTGGACGGACTTTCGGGCATGGTCGCTTGGCGATAATGTAAGATTGTTGAAAGATCCCACAGAAGCGACGAGGGTTGTTGTCGTCCGGATACAAAGAATCATCCCGAAGACTGTTTTAATTGGCTGAAAAAGAGGTAATATCTTCCATTTGAACCAATCAATATACACGTCAATGACCAAAGTTCAACTTGACTTGGGTTCATTGCTCAAGAGCGCTCATAGGAACAGACTTTCCTTCCAAGCGAGGTGGCGACGCCGGCAGCACATTTTGGTGCGAGCTAGCTTGATATGCACGTCCATCCTTGTCCTGTTCTCCCGCCGAATACAGCTAAATGGAATTGGAACACGGACCCATCCCCACTTGCCTTGTGTTGCCATCTAGAAACATGCATGCACCGAGACTCTGGATTTGCCTCGACGCATGACGTGGCATCTCCAGTCTTGCCTTTGGTCCACTAACGCATGAGCAATCCCGGCAGTCCCGCACGACAACGTTGTTGAGAAATGAATTGTTCACCATGGGTTTCGACGTCAAGGGGTTGCGTGTTCCACTTCCTGTTGCTCCACCATGGCCAATCTATCGGTCACATTGGTTTGCCACAGCCGTCTCGATTCTCGCAAACTCAACTACATGAACACGGTCATGGATTTGCATGGACCGCGATGAATCCGTGCCTTCTCCCCACGTGGCTTGGCTTGCTACGGCGTCAAGGACGCACGCTGGGGCACCAAACGAATGACGAGAACGTTGGCCGTCTTTGTGTAGGGCACTGAATTCAGCCAAACCGTCGAGAATTGCCTCGTCGGGTCGTCGTGCCCATGTCTTTGAACATTGAAGCACGATGACCAGCTCTACGGCTTGACGCACGAGGCGATGGACCTTGGCAGGATACGTGCAAACACGGAATCCACACGTTTCTAGACATCGCGAATATGACGTTCAATTGGCTCCAATTGGCAGCAGTATCCTATTTGAAGCTGCTGCTGCTGCTGCTGCTGCTTTTGACCAAAGGGCGCTGCATTGGCACAAACTACGGCGTGCACAAGGCGCGCATGCCCCCATTGCCGCCGAGAGTTTAGTGTGAGACCACTTCATACCTCGTGGCGATGGCATTAGTAGGCTCCAAGTCGCTCGGTCACCAAGTCGGGCACGATTCACACACCACGTTGACGTGCCCCCATCAACATGGCATTGGATGAAGTAGGCTGGCAAGCTGCCGTTCGTGGTCCATCTCGATTCCGTTCTCATCACGGCTGGTTTCCCTTGAACCTCTAGCGAAAGTTTTGGTGAGTCTAGAGTGGACTGCTGCTATCGTCGCGAGGTGTCGAATGATTGGAATTCATGAGCATTTCCCTGCTTCAGCTTTCAGTCGTGCGCCACGCGACGTTGTGCTTCATCCTGTGTACGCGAACGACACTTGGAATTCTCACAGTTGGGCCAACTGATGATTCAAAGCACGATCGGTGCTTTTTCTCGATTTCTTATCGTGTCGGTGTACGCTTCTCGACTTGGACGGTGGGGTGTGTCTGAAGCCACGCTAGCTGCCGAATCGCGTCGGGATCGCACGTTAGAGCCACCGAGCCCATGAGCACAGTGTAAAAGTCCGTCAAGAACGCGACCAGGTCACGGGACGGAAGTCCAAAGCCAACACCTGGCGTCTCCACGAGGGCATCATTGAACACGGCCAGACGCAGGGTCTTGCAAGCGTCTCTTTCCTCGGAGAGACGTGGCTGGACATAGTCAAATTCCAGGAAGGACAGCCCCCACAACGTCAGCAACTGCCGTCGTCGGGCAGGGGGCATGACATCATTTACGACTTCGTCCGAATTAGATTCCAAAAACACGGCGCGACATTTGGGGTGTCCGTGGCGTCGTGCTTGGTCATGCAGCGTCCTGAGCGCGTTGTCGGTGAGGTAGCGACCAAGTCCTTGCCCTTTCGTATCGACATTTGGATTAGTAGCAATATACGTCACGAGGCCACAGTTGCTCCTGCGATAGTACTCAAAGCACACGCCAGCTAGAATAGTCGACCTGCCCTCTTTGTCGAGAAGAAGGAGTATGTGATAGAGGCACTCAGAATCGTGACTGGATTGTGTCAGTTGGGCATGGAAACTTTCGAGATCGTCCAGTTCTAGAACATCATCAGGTTCTTATCAACGGAGGTGTCTTACCGTCTGGGTACATGCCAAAGCAAGGCTCAAGGATATCGTTGTAGAAGCGCTGGAGCAGCAGTGGTTCGTACGCCGCATGCAAGGCCACGACCTCATGGCCTGCCGGTGGTGTCATGGCTCAACCCCGCCAATTTTGAACTGGAAAAGCGATGATCTGCATCCATTGGTTGAAAAACTTGTCTTTTATCCAATCCATAGTGTCTATGGCAAACGGCGCGCATCGATTGGTCCTCCGCTCCATTCAAGGTGGATTATCCGGAAATTGCGCCAATTTTATCCGGGGACTCCATTCGCTCTCCAATCTTCCGCCGGAAGCATGCGAACGCGCCGAGGTGGAGGCGTCGAGAACGAAGCTGACGACGTGATCGAGATCAATGGCTCGCCCAACGTAGATATCTTACAGCGCTTGCCGCGTCGTCGTCACCGGGCGGTTCGCTACATTGAATCCCTAGATGCCTATGTATGTTGCACCGTCTCCAAGGAACTCCTCTCACCGTTGAGGCATGCTGTAGAGTCAGCCTGCAGAAGGACCGAAGTCATCTCAACATGGTACAGCACAGCCGTTGTACCAACGGCACCCAAGGTCACCACGCGAGTCGAATCCACCTTCGGCGGATGAAGAAGAGATTGACGAGAACGAATACGACGACGAGGATGAGGAGAACCTTGACGAGGACGAGCAAGAATCTTTCGACACAGCTGAAGACGACGGTGAATCTGTAGAGGACGAATCGGATGATCCTCCAAGTCCTGATATCAAGCAAGAAAGTCCAGGATCTGCTGGTCTTGGGTAAGCGAGAGAAGCCACGCTGTGACCGTCTAAGATCCATCTAAAGGCGTTCAACTTCGCGACTCAACGTACGCTCTGCTGCCGAGCCCACGCAAGATGAAATCAGGTTCGACGGAAACACCACCATCGAAACAACCCTCGTCAGGCATGCTAACGTGGGCCATACAGAAAATCCAAGAGACCTGTCGTTCGATCATCCCAGGAGGAGCCCGAGGAAGACTCGAGGTACAGCGATCTAGCTCGTTCATGAACTCATATGTATCTTGCGACAGAGCCACAATCTCCGAGCCAGTGGATACGTCTACGCGGAGACTATCCACTCGTCGTCGACGGTCTGGAATTGGAGAAGATTCAGATTGCCAGCTGTACACCTTGTCAACTGCCACCTTCTTCCCCCTGCCTGATCCATCCCTGTTCGCCTTGCGTAGGGTAGATACAGCAGTGACGAACGGTCCAGCTGCCGATGGCACTTTGACTGGTCGGTATCCTACACGTCGGCGCATCTCGGGTCTCGAAGGGAACACGGTGTCGGCGCTTGAAACGTTGCCACCACCGAAGTCCCTCAACCGCTCATCCCAGCGGTACATGTCGCGTCAGGAACTTTGCGGATTGATGGTTCTTATGTAAGCAGGTACCCCTTGCGAGACCGATCGCGCCATCATCGCCATCGCGACTCGTTTGACGAGCCCAACAAGACAATATCGGCGTCGTCATCAATTACATCGTTTCAGTCCACTCGCGCAGCCACCCAAGTCTTGGATCGCGCAGCTCGGTATGCCCTTCGGGCCAAGCGCGAGAACAGCGACGTGGCTATGTCATCTCCAGAGAAATCCAGCCAGCAGCAGGGCGGTTATCACCGGTCCACAAAGAGCTACTCCCTCCGCGATCGAAGTAGCATTCGTCGTCAAGTGACGGCTTCTGCGCCGCAACCAAACTACCCTCTCTACGACGACTTCGGCGATGCGCGCCCCCCGAAACGTTCCAAACACCATGTCGATCGTCAGCCCTCGCGCAAGTTCTACGCTCTCTCGAGCTCGTCGTCGTCTGATTCGACTTCCGATGGGGAAATGCAAATGATCAAGCGCGGCAGCAGTCGAAGCAAGCACGGCCGGCGGTCGTCCAAAGGTTCGTCGGTGCTGGACACTGACAAGACCAAGGCCTCGCTCCCAGCTGACATTTCTCCTCTCGATATTGACCCGTCAATCACGTGGGATTCCATTGGAGGGCTCAAATCCCACATACACGCGCTCCAAGAGATGGTGCTCCTGCCACTGTTGTACCCGGAATTCTACGCCAAGTTTGCCCTCTCTCCACCGGCGGGCGTTCTCTTCTACGGACCTCCTGGCACGGGCAAAACGCTCGTGGCCCGCGCGCTGGCCAACTCGACCGGCAGCCAACGCATAACGTTCTACATGCGGAAAGGCGCGGACTGTCTTAGCAAATGGGTCGGCGAAGCTGAGCGCCAGCTGCGCGTGCTTTTCGAACAAGCCAAGAAGACGGAGCCCAGTATCATCTTCTTTGACGAGATCGACGGTCTTGCACCAGTCCGCAGTGCGAAACAAGATCAAATCCATGCCTCTATCGTATCGACGTTGCTTGCGCTCATGGACGGTACGTCCGTGTGGTAGCGTTTTCAATTCGGATCATTTTTCATGCATTTGCTCCAGTCGGGCTATTTGACAGCGAGTTGTTCACGGACTTGCTCCATCGTAGGCCTGGATTCTCGCGGTCGTGTGGTCGTGATTGGAGCAACGAATCGGATCGACGCAATCGACCCTGCTCTCCGTCGACCTGGTACGTTTTCTCTTTATGTTTGGTGGCGTCAAGGTTGTCGCAGGTCGCTTTGATCGAGAACTTGCGTTTACCTTACCGAATGCGACGGATCGCGCAGCCATGCTCGGCATTCACACCAAGAAATGGCAGCCGCCGCTTTCGACGTCATTCAAAGAGCAACTCGCCAAAGAACTGGTCGGGTATTGTGGCGCTGACATCAAAGCTCTGTGTTCGGAAACTGCCCTTGTCGCGTTCAAGCGGTCCTTTCCTCAAGTTTACGACACGCCGGCGAAACTCGACGTGGATCTGACGGAAATGCGCGTGCTGCGGTCGGACTTTCAGCTCGCCCAAGCTAAGATCGTACCGGCTGCCGCGCGGTCGCAAACGGCCGTCGCAGCGCCCCTGCCTCCCCTACTCGCCCCATTGCTAGAGGTATGTACCCTATTGCCTCGTTGAAGTGGAAAAGGTCCACTCGAGCCGTAGGAACCGCTGGCGAAATTGGTCCACTTAGTTCACGCATCGTTCCCGACCGGGTTATTCGCCCCGCCGCCTGCGGTCACGACGAATGCCGCTCCGATCTATGACTTGGCCACGACAACGTGCTCGCATTGTTTGAATTCATTGCCAAACCACGGCGACAACGTGTCCGATCGGAATATTCAATCGTGCGAATTATGCCGGTCCTCGTTCCATGCGACATGTCTTGCCTCACCAACTCGGTGCTTCTCGTGCATGCCTTCGTACACGTACATCCCGCCGTCCCTCGTGCGGTGCCTCGTCTTTGGGACGTCTGGTGCGATGGGGCAGTCCGTGCTCACGTCGGCCCTGTTGAGTGCCATGGATGGGCTTCCTTGCGTCGAATTTGATCGCTTCAGTAGCCCCGCACAGTGGATGACCAAGTGGTCCGAGGTGCTGACGCGGGTGCCATGCGTCGTCTACTTTCCGCACTTGGATCAATCTTGGAACGATCACCCGACGGAAATCCCGGCCTTGTTGCATCACTGGTTGCAGACCGCACAGCACCTGCCCATCGTAGTCGTGGCCACAGCGTCCACCGTCATGCTCCCTGCCGACTTGGTGTCGCTCTTCCCGCACCAGTATGAAGTGACGCCGCCCAACGAAGCCGCCCGGCGATCGTTCTGGAGTGCCGTGGGCACGTGGGTATCGAGTCCACCGCCGGCGGCGCTCCCGCCGCCCAAACCACTGCGCGTGGTGGCGCCGCCGAAGGCCAAAGAACAGACGAAATCGACGGCGTCGGTCCTGACTGACCAAGAGCAGCACCATCTCCGTGAACTCCGCATTTTCCTTGAAGCTGTGGTTTCGTACTGCATTCGCCAAAAAGCGAACGCGCCGTTTGTGGTGATCGAGACGATGCTGGACGACGGGTCGACTTGTCGACGGCACATGGACTTAACCACAATTCGCGACAAAGTCCACGATGGCGAGTACACGACATGGGAAAAGTTTATGGAGCACATCCACGAGATCGTCCAAGATGCGTACGCCGCCTACCCCAAGTACAGCTCGATGCGGTACGCAGTCGTTGTGGGTCTTCCTGTGCGAACCACGGATCGATCGATGTAGGTACATTGCTCATGCCGCCGCCAACATGCAGGACAACGTGATGAGTTTTGCGCATCGGTTCCGAAAAGAACAGGGGTATGATCTGTTTGCTACGTGCCGCGAGATCCAGCAAGCCAAGCTGGCCACGCGACCAGTCCCAGCCCCCATGCGCCTGAAGCGGCCCGGCGCGCTTCCGCCATCGATTTCACCTCCTCCAGTGGCCGTCGATCTGGTCGAAGACGACGCGGTGAGTGATGAAGTGCAGGAAGTGTTTGCCGTGGGCGATCCGGTTTTTGTCGCCAAGCGCACTGGCCCTGGAATAAACAAACTCGGCGGCGCTGGCCGCGTCCAGCATGTCTACAATGCCACAGACGATGGAGGACTCAAGTACGACGTCAAGTTCATCTTGGGCGGGTTTGAAAAGGAGGTGCGTGCTAGCAACTTCGATAGGTCTCTGATCCATTGAAAAATGTGCGGTGTAGGTCGACGCCAAGTACGTGCGGCGGCTAACTGAAGACACTGTCCAAGCCAGCGTTAAAATGCACGCGACGACGACTGTTGTCGGGGCTAACAGTCGAAGGGCGGCTGCACCCACTGCCGACGATATCTTTGACGCAACTGTGTGGCCTCATTTGTACCAAGCAGGCTGGGAGTACCTTCCTCCGCCGGTGGGGCTGTGGGTTGCCGACCCTCCCATGGACTCAGAGGGGACCGACCACGCACTGTCCAGAGCCGAATGGATGGAACGGCACCAGTGCTTTCCATCCCGCGACGACGTTCTTGCGTTTGTGAAACAATCGCCCGACTACGCGCGCCTGTGCTTTGGCCAACGGTGCGCTCGATTTATAGTCCATATGGATGGGAATTCACGCGGGAACGAAATAGATATGTTGAAAGGAACATTGCCGACGGATTAGTCGCAAAGCCTGTGCCGTGGACGCCCCAAGAGGAAATGTACTTCATGATGCTTGAAGACAAAGCAGCATCGCCAACTCAAGCGGCCGACCGAGACGGGTCGACTTTGTCGGAAACCCCGGCGTTCACAGTGGACGAGGTAGTGTCGGTGGAAAGGTTGTTGGGTGCACTCATCATGTCCAGGACCAAGTACGTGCCATCGTGGAAGATTTGGTCCAAGCGACCAACGGATGGTCTGTCGACGCGCTGCGGCAAGAACTCGTGCAACTCAACCATATCGTGTTGGCTCATCGGCAACACTTTGACCGACGGCCGATGATTGAGGTGATTTTTTCAACAGCGCGGTCTACATACTGACGGTGGATTGGCGGTTGTAGGCGCTGCGAGATCGCGTTCAGGCTTTCCATTAAGGGAGATGGGATCGCTGGAGGAATCGCGGCGACGCCACATCTCACACGTGGGCCCGAGCATTCTGCTCCTTTAAACTTCGGCTTTCCCCCGACGCGCCTTGAGGATTCACAAGCCAAGGATCTCATTCGTGATGGATCGTGAGCGAACGAGTGGAATACACAACAAGATGGAATATTTTGCTTGCTTGAAAGATATTTTGGTCTAAAATTGCATTGTCAATTGCAATTACAGTCCGTCCAGAAATTATAGACGCACCTGGAAATTTTCGTGTTCGTCATGATGCGATCCTGTTC